AAATATGAGGGAGTGTGTGTGTGTGTGTGTGTTAGACCGCAGATGCAGGTGGAGCTGTGGTGCGGTTGGGCAGACGGTGAGCATCGCTCCAGGCCAGGGCCCTGGCAAACGCAACACTACGACCTCATGGTGGGTGTGAGCCGTGGTGAGAGGTTATGTGAAAGTGTGCCTTTGTTGCTGAATTTGCTCAGCGAATGAACTTCAGTAGCTGCTGAGCTACAGCACTCGTTGAACAAGTAATTATATTTTTGGAGGAGGCACGCAGCGGGAGTTACTGCTTCAACTTCCGAAGACATTAGTTTGAATACATAAACATTACTGCAGCATCTTGATGACTGGCAGACAGAAGAGTAACACGTCAACATGTTTTTGATTTAACAAGCAACTACTGCGGTGCTAGTGTAGGGTACATGCATGATGAGAGACAAAGGCTGCCACTGTACCTCAATGATTTATTGAAACAGCATGGGATTTGTCAAAACAACTACTTATAGTAGAATAACACATAATTTGTAGTGCGGGATTCCAGAAACCCCTAATACTTTGCAAATACAATTTCCTCATCAATGGGTGCATGTGTTGTGTGACCTCTTTGAGTCATAAACCACTTTGCACATCCATTAAAACCAAATCTTTTCTCCACCAATCAGACTCAAATTTGCCACCAACGTATATGCATAACTTTGTCGAGGTCTAGACTCCCTTGGGAATGCCTCGTCTGTGTGGGACAGGCATAGCTGTGGACGCCTGGCCCCTTCGGAGTTGACACTCCTGGCTGGGATCCCAGGCATCCACAGCTTCCTGATTACCAGCTGTCCCTGTCCCACTCTGCCTGTCAAGTCCCTGTAACTGAGAAACAAACAAACAGTCAACAAAGGGCCTAGTTTAGCACCACCGACCGCCACGGCGTGACAACAGGTTTGTCACTCTCGCTGCCTGCGAGGGCTAAATGAGCCCTGCGCTCTGGAGAGGAGCGAGAAACCTCTCTGCGTCTGAAAACCACCGAAGGAGGAGCTGCAGTCAGTGACAGCGGGTTTCGTCTATCTCTGCCTCCAGATAAACTGCATCAGCCAAACCAGGAATAAAGAAATGCAGACTGAAACAACCTAATAGTGGGTCCTTTTGGTTCTTAGATTGAGCAGAAACTCCTTGCAGCTCTGCTGACGGATGGAGGCTTTATGTCTCCTCCTCCCTTCTTTCTCTTATTGTCTCAATCTGTGGACATCTGCTTGCTAGAGAGACAAATCCCCCTAACTTTTGACACACTAGCCACCAAGAGGAGAAGCCTATTAATAGGCTTCCTGCTCATAAAAGAGATGTGGCAGATCAGGTTTTTTTAGGGGGGGGGGGGGGGGGGGGAGTTTGATATGCATGTAATACAATATTAGTTCAATTGTGATGCACCGTCAGAGGCCCCCTCTATGGAAATCTGCATGAAATCACTGTCTGGGCAAGGTCGTAAATCACCAATGGCGTTGTTTATTATTGCAGTACAGTTTTATGGAGGGCGGGCGCTTTGCTGGGACGTCCCGGAGAGGAATGCCCAACAGAGGACCTGCTAGGTAATGGCCCCTTTATTTCCACAAGGGGGTTGACGGGAGTTCAGTGAAGATCAGGCCTCTTGAGAATTACATGGTTACTGTTAAGCCTGATTAAAGCATAGGAACCACCAATATCTAACAAAAGCAAACACACGACATGTTCGCTGGATCTACAACAACATCAACTGGTGATAAATCTCAAAGACGATCAAAGTTGTGGTAGAGGATTGTAAGTCAGGTACAAGCCATACAGACGCGATCTAGCTCTTATTTCTGTTCCCCTCTGTTTTGCACGAGCAGCCAGAGCGGCTGGCCGACATGCCGGGACACCCACTTTTTCTTTCACAAAACGTCTGGTCTGGTTGCGTCTGACTTTTTCTGCCAGGTCTCTGAGCATCGGGAAAACTTATCAAAGAGAACAAACCTCTATTCTGTGCTGCAGAGAGAGCAGTTCTCCTCTCCGAGAAAGACAGCCAGTCAGGACCACAGACACTACTTAGTCTTTCAGCTGTTCGGATGTGGAAAAAGCACATTAGGGGGCATTGTGCCGGCACATTCCGGCGGTAGCAGCCCGACTTGCTTTGTCCAGCCTGGCAGACATGCACGCCTCACTCCGGCCATCACTCCCACTCCATCTGAAAACATAATTGATCTGGATATTAAACGAGCTGCGCGGCTCTGAATAAAATTCCACGCATGCTAAATTCTCCAACGTGGTTTTGAAGGCCGGACACTTTCTTCCCCGTCTGGGCTAGTGTTACATGCTGGACTGTCTTAGCTGTGACCACCTCATAAAACCAGCCTCATAAATATTGTTCATGTGTTATTTAAACTAACGCAGCTCTCTATGACTTTGAGTTGTTTGATTGATGTTAATTATACATGGAGGCTCCCTCCAGACATACGCTATGAGGATAGAACTATTAAAAATACTGGGCTGAGCATTGGCTCGGCTGCTGGAGCCTCACAAATGTGTGACGCGCGTTTTACATTGTTGAGGCTGTCGAGAAAATCTTGCATTGTCTCACCGGAATTATGAAAAATAAATAATCAATAGAAATGCAATCACGGATACGTTAAGAGTCTTCAAGTCACGTTAGTTATTCCTAAACAAAAGCATGCCTGTCACTCGATCGTAGCCTTGTTACGATTGTATATTTGTACTCGCTGTTGTGCAGATATGAAGGATGTCATTAGCATGTGGGGGTGCGATGTTGTTTGGTCTAGACTTGCACCAGCTCCAGTTTCTGTTTGCTTCCTGGTGGGATTAGGCGCTGAGGCCTGTGACATCAGTCTCAGGACACTGGGGACAGTACTACTAACACACAATGGAAAGCAGTTAAATAAAACTATTTTGTCCACAGACAAAAGTATTTTAATGTCAGTGTTAAACTGTGTTTTACAAAATATTCTAAATAATGTTTTAAGTCGTAGTTTTAAATAAATAAAAAAATCAGAGGTCAACATGTAATAGTTCACAAATCAGTTTTATTAATTTAAACACAATCAAATAATAATGTCAAAAACATCTGTACACATATTTTGCAGACACAACAATCTTTTGCATTTCACAATGAGGCCCATGTAGTGTAAAGTATTTCCAGTTTGCATTTATGTTTGCAACATAATAAAAAAAGCGTGCTGTATGAATCTATAAAACGTTTCCTCTAGTTACCTACCATTACCTTGATCTAGCAGCAATATGTAGATACCCCCGGAGAGCGGGGGAAGAAGTTGTTTTGAGAAGATGGGGTGGGGGGGGGGGGGGGGGGGGTCGGGGGAGGGAGGGATCCAAATTGAAACGTAAAGGCCAACAGTGATCATGTGCAAAGGAGGGAAAATTAGAAACACAACGAATGGGTTTCCGTTTTAAGAAATTCACAGTCGATAGCACATGTCCTGTATGTTCACAAACCCCTCGAAGTTAGTGGCTTTTCTCTCAATGTTAATTATGGTTTCCCCATCCACAGACGTAGAAGCATTATGCAAAGGGCTTTATGTCTTTCAACTATTTCAAAGTGTGACACAGAATGTAATTTAAAAGTCGAAATTAAAAACACTACATCATACAAAATTACGCTCGCTGTACAAGTTGTTATAGCGCTTGTAAAAAAGATAATAAAACCTATTCAAGCCTGCTTGTCAAATCTCAGACTTTCTTCAAATTTGTTAACATGGCTCTCAGGAGGCAGGAAATTGTGAGTTTTCTCACTCCATATCCAAAATAACATCAGAATTAAGTTTGCTTCCAAATATATGGGGTTAGGGCTACAAGCTGGTGAAATGCCATAAGGACAAAGATGTGAGCTACCTGTCTGAATAACAACCCCCCCCCCGCCCAAAAAAACCAAATACCTCTTTCCCTTTCAAATATGAGTCTAAAAGGACTTGCAGTAGAGGAGACCTGTTATGCTGTATAAAGATGTGACTGAAGTTTCCTGTAAGGACGAGAAACATCACAGAATCAAATGAAAGGTCATTGACACTTGACATCCATGCTTTTGGTCTTGACAAAACAATTTATCACAAAATCCCATTATCTACATATTTGTTTATTGAACAAAACTTGAACACATCAACACTTTCAGGCGCCGCACAAGCTCATGTGCGATGGGATGCCTTTGATTATTTATTTTTTTTTTTACTTCAATGAAAAAGCATTGCCACCTTTCAAGAGCACGTACCTAAATGAATATAGGAAGGAATAGTCCAGTGATTACAAACTTACACACACAAAAAAGATTTCCTCTATACACGATTGTCTCAGCATTGTAAATAAAGTTTTTTGTAATTTTCCTTAAATATTTAGAAAACTCCCCCTTTTTTTGTTTTGTTTCTTCCATAATCGTCTTCCTCTCGCTGTGGTGTAAATCAATAGTACTTTGTCAAAGGCACAAGTCTTTTGTCGTCGAGGTACCTTCTCGGTGGCGCGGTGCCGCTCACAAAGTCTCCGTTCATAAATAACAAGCACAGGACTCCCAGGCTGACGGTTAACAGAGGAGCAGTCGCTTTGTCTGTCTGTCCCGTGACGGAAGAGAGACTAAAAAGTAGGTTGACAGATAAGGAACAGAAAGAGACGGGGGGTGGGGGGGTGAACAGCTAGAGGGACGGAGAAATGTCACCACCAGTAGTCGTGGGCCTGTGGTTTACTGTAGCTGAGTTCTGTGGCGGGGCGGGCGAGGCCATCAGTAGCTCTGCTCTCCTCACAGGTGTGAACCCTGAAAGAGTCCCGGCACAAACAGGGGGCCGTAAAACACTTTGACAGCTTCAGAAAACGGCCAATTCACAGTAACCAGGGCAAGCAGCTGCAGCGCCGTAAATTCACCTCTCTCCTTCGCTTCCAGAGAGAAAAAAAAAAAAGTTTAGGGTTAAGACGAAGTGTGACCATATGTCAGCACATTAACCGTGTGCTCAGCCTTTTTTTTCTTTTTTTTTTCCTCCATTCTCCTCTTCTTTTCTTCCTGTGTAGTGGAAGACAGACGCCAGGCCGCACAGGGAGGAGGGGGGGGGGGTATTTTCTGAGCTGTAGGATCTGTGGCAAGCGTGGGACGGGGACGGAGGGCGAAGGTGAAAGGTTGCAGGGTGTGCTGAGGCGGAGCAGGGTGTACGGTGGTGGTGTAGTGCTACAAGTACTCCAGGTCTAGAGCGTGGTGGAGGGCCATGAGGTCTGAATGGCTGGAGATCCTCCAGAAGGGCATGTTGTGCTGAGGGTGGAATGAAATACATTTGATTTAAAACACTTGATGTGACACATTTTAGGGCTAATAAGAAATATACAAGATTTGAATCGATCCGTTCAGTAATTTATCAAAGCAAAAAACACACACCAGAGATTCTTTTTTTTTTCCTCCAGAAAAGCAAATTAAAAGATGTTGGGAAACCGTAATGGGCATTTTTAAGCTGAGTTATTATCAAAAAATAATAGACATATCAATCGATATTGAAAAAAAACATCTAAGCGCAAAGAAGATTTGACTCTTTACACCACAGCTAAAACATTCAATGAATGGAGAAAGCCTGGTCCTTTCACCAGGTATAGCAATCATATTAATAACGCACGCAGACTGCACCTCTTGCTCCCTTGTGCATATGTCTTTGCGGCCTCTACCTAATTTCTCTCCTGCATTAACATGTACTTTTATACCACCAAACTAATCCAGTGGCTGTCTCCAACCTCACCAGAAGTGAACTCCCCACAGGCTCTTTTGAGTGAACCTCCTGCCTGCCAGTGTGTGTGTTTGGGACGGTGCAAATGAGCTGTTGTTCCCGAGCAGAGGACGGGGGGAGAAACCTGAGTCGCAGAGAATGAAAGGAGCTTGTCAGGTAGAGTCCTCGGCTCCTCAGTGTGCGGAGCCCATTACACTCCCCTTATCAAAGGTATGGCCTCTCCCAGGCATATGTTCCGCTTAGAAGAGCCTGCACTGACCCTTAAAAAAGCTCTTTGCTTTTTGTTTTGTAAATTGTCTTTGCTTTTAAGTTTAAAAGCGGCAGATGCTATCTCTGCCTTCTCTCCCAGGCGATGGTAATAACTGAAGGCGGAATTGTTTCAGGGATTGCAGATTTTTCCTTTTTTAGGTGGAGGAATGAGGGCCCGAGAGAACTTTTAGACTTCTGTAGTTCTCACAATGTCACGTCTGATGTGCGCCTCCTGACGGGTGAAATTGTTGTGTTATTTCAAGTCCTCTCTGATGTTGACACAGAAACCTTTTACCGCATGCCATGTCGTGGGACTCACACTACTCAGACGGAGGGGGAAAAAAAAAAAAAAAACGCCTTATCCTTCCATCAATGTCACAATCCAACAACTCAAGACGGAGTGAAAATATTTGCATATTTTTCCACAATCATCTCTCAAGTCCATATTCCCAGGGTGTGTTTGCTTTCCATAACACAGAGCTATTGTTTTACACACCTCTCCAGGGTAAAGGTTGCTACTTCTTCCTAATCGCTGCCTAATCGCTCTTCATCGCTCTTCATCTGTCCTCACGCTTCTCCTCGCTGTTTACTGAAAAACAGGTGAAGAGGGAGCTGGAGGCTTTTCAAAGGGAAACTCCACGTCTACACTCTGACAGTGTGGCTCACCGTAACTGTCAGTGAAATATGCTCTTGGGCCGCCGATTAATTTTGCTAATGAATATCTTTGCTGTGTGCGGCTTTTGCATGTCGCATTTGGTGTACATCCAAACTTGGCAGAAACGCCGAGTACACAAATTGCGGAGCAAGAGAGGACAGGTATGGGCAACGTAAGAGGCACCTGAACAGATACCGTCGGCTTTCTTGAACCTTTCTCGTGCTAACAGGCTTGGCATTGCAGTAAATATTCTAATTTCATCAACAATGATTTAAGTCTCCTTTATGCGCGCTGGTTCTGAAAGGGCTAGCATTACACACACAGCATTCACGCTGCTCAGGGCAGCGAGCAGGAATATATAATTATGCCATCTACCCTCCCCTGCTCTGTAAACCTGAGATGGCGGAGGAAGAGCACTGATTACACACTACAGACTTTCTCTCTTGTACTTGGATGCCCTATAAGAGGATAAACGAATGAAAGTAAAGTAAGACTGTTGAGGAGGACAGAGCTAGAGTGCTGATTCCTTTCTTTGGAAAAGTATGGCAGGTATGTTTTGTGTTCTGTGAGCATTCAATAATGAACTCCTGACCTTAGGGAAAGTCCAAACATTTTCTTTTCTCCTATCTCCGTGTGTTTTCCGACGAATGTTTTCACCAGAGGACTCGATGTGTATGCAGTATGTGGTGTCTATTATTCCAAGACGTCTTACCTTTTTTGAGCCTTGCTCCTCTTCCACACCGTCTCCAACAACAATGTAAACAACTTTCCTCCCGAACCTTTGAATTACTCTCTCGAAGCAGCTCTCCTTCCCTGTGGGGGAGTCGACAAGCAGGATGTTAGTGGAGCGTTGAGTGGATGCAAACAGATACAAAGACCCTCGCACGGACCCACACTAAACACCGTCAAGTTGATTCAAAGGCACAGGGTGACAAGAGCCCCTTTAAAAACACCACACGTACAAAATAGGGCAGAGTGTAAACACTTTGAGCTCAGCAAGGAGATGTGATAAGATCAGCCCTCAGATAAAGGCAATCTGAAACGCATTAACTCTGCCCTTCTGCTCCTCAACCATGGGACAAATGGACTTAAATCAGCCAAAATCACTCTTGCATGCCACAGGGTCTGGGTTAGGAGGACTGGTGCGCTTAACGCACCGAGGAGCCCTGAGCTACACTCCGCTCCAGACTCCTGCGCTGATGGGCCTGAAAACGTTGCGGGAGTGAAGCTTGATGTTTATTTTGCATTTGAAACAGTGAAGAAGGGGAAGTACTGGAGGGAAAGGGGGGGGGGGTCTTGTTGCTGTGGAATGACATAAATGTGCAGAAGTGGTTTCATATGCAGAGACTGAACAGGAGAGGCCTGGGGAGGCCCAGCACAGGCCCAGCTCCAGGAAAATAATCCCAGGCTGATTAGGCCTATTCCTTCATAGAAGAACATCAACCGTCTCCGGTGACTGAATCTCCCACCCCATCCACGCCTCTGTCCCATCACTTAGGTAGCACGTGTGTCTTAATTCTTTACACTCACCAAGCTAAAACAACAAGCATTAATGTCCCAAAGTGACAGATTGATCACAACGGGCAAAACAAAAGAGGGCTGAAATCCCACATTTTACCTATTTTGGTTGCACTATAAATATTCTCGATAGGAAAGACGATCCCCAAGCCGTAGAGCAGGACCTTAGCCAGGGCAGGGATGAGCTGCGTGGTGGTCACCAGGATATTCACACAGTTTGACCTGCAGCAGAGAGACAGGGGAGGAGAGCAAAAGGGATGACATCATTCTACATCACTCTGAGGGAGGACAAAAGAAAACACAGCGTACAGAAAATAAAGACGCCGCAATGTATCAAATGCTTAAAACATGTCACCCAGTGAAAGGTTGAATCACAGCTTTTTAAAGTCGGATCTCTAAGCACACTTTCAAATATCAGAAGACAAAGTCCATCCAGAAGAGCATTGGTGTTTTCTTTAATAGCTTAGGAGAATGGAGTTGACTTATTTACACCACATGAGAGTTTATATATGTGCGGTATGGGACTGGATACAATTTTCCTCACTGGAGTCCTACCTTGAGTGGATTAATGTTAGTGCTTTCAGTGCCAGTGTTAACCAGGAGTCCGTCAAGGCTTCAATTTCTGCTCGCAATTGCAACCAGGCTTCCCTTTTGGCTGGGCCCAGCAGACCTGAAACGCAGGGTAACATTGTTTGGGTTGGACCAGCCCTCAGAATACCACTGAAATTTTCAAAATTTACCCTGACCAAGTGGTGTGGCATGTGTGCTTTCAGAACACACGCACAAACACTCACACAAACGGCCACACAAATGAGGAGACATGCATCTACAAGCTCAGTTCTGCTCGACAGATCTGTACAAAGCAGTGCTGCTTGTTGGGGGGGGGGGGGGATTACCTCCGACGTTATTTTTGTAGGTGGTGTAGATTTCTTTTACTCGTCTGTAGCGGAAGGCCAGTTTTCTCATCCAGTCCACGCCTCCCCGCACGCCTGTGGCCAGACATAGATTGGCACTGGTGGCCGCTGCGTGGAAACCGTCAGCGCCGAAGTTGTACGTGCTGAGATGAAGACAAATAAAAAAAGAATCTGTCAGCACAGGCTGCGCCAACGTTGATGCGAGCAAAATGGCACAGTTCATTCTGACTATTCAATACCTCAGATCCTGGCCGTTGTCATCGGAGGACACATCGTCGATATGTACCTGGTCACATTCCTGGAAGACACAACACAAATACTTTGAGTAACGTAGGATTCAGAAGAAGAGAAGTTTCTTTCTTGGGAAAGCACTCTCACCACATGTTCCTCGTAATTTCTCACCAGAAACAACATATTCATTCAGGAATTTGTGCTTTGGCTGGACACCTCACCCTTAATCCCACTCGCCTTGACTTTCTCTGTATATCCTTTTGAATAAGTTCTCAGCATTTTTCTTCCCTTGCGCCAATACCAGCTCTGTCCAAACAAAAAACTAACCTCATCATTAGTCAGAATGGACTGCGACCACTAGAGGGGTCTAAAGATATGCACACGCACAGACATAAACAATTAAGCCTCAATCTAGCAACTCCAAAAACTCCCCAGGTTGGCATTGGAACAGCTATGTCTGCGAGTACTGATAGAAATACACACAGTAGAAGGATGTATGCAGGCTAGCTGAATGTATAAAGCACTAGTAGTCTGTGCATGTGTATGCGTCTGCGTGTGCATCTCTAAACATGTGTGCACACTCCTCTTCCCCTTTGGGGGTCCCTGGCTCCTCTTGGAAAGGTAGAGGGATTCTGCAGCTCTGCACTGATTCCGCTGGTACACAGTAACACAATCCAGACTTTCTGGCAAATGTAACCTACTAGAAAAATTGAACCTGATGCTAACCGCCAATGAAATTATGACCTCTGATTGCTGCTGCGCCACACACCAACACAGCCCCGGGGCCAGTCAGCCGGCAAAAGAGCGCAGACAAAAAAATCTGTTATTAGTTTTCCATTTATAGGAGGGCTGTAGAGCCTCCCCCTTTATCGCCTCTCGCCGGTCGGTCCCCCTCACCCAGCTAAAAATGTGAGGGAGTCCTGCCTTGGCATTGAGATCAACACATTTCACTTGGGGCAGAGCAGAGAGAGACTATAGCTTCTTTGTGCTAAAATGTGTGGTGGCTAGCGATTTAGCCAACAGGAGTTTGAGCAATAGCCTTGTTAAGAGCAAAGGGCTTTGAAATTGAATGGGACGTCAAACTCTCAATTTGTTTCAGTCAGCCCTAATCTAGAATGAATAACAGACAGCGTATTGACATCTCCATGAAGCAGTTTAAAGAATTTCTCTGGAAAGCTACGAGTTTTAAGCGTGTTGTGTAGCTGCCAACGATCGTAAGCCTCACCTGTTTAAAGTTACGTGAGAAATAATAATTTCTCATGGAAGTTGAAACTTGAGGGAGAGGAATTCCTCCGGTCTCAAGTATGAAAAATCCCTCCCGATTTTTTGAGCTTTTTAATTAAGTTTCATCCGTCTGTTAAGACACCAAAACACAGAAAGGACTTCCTTGTTTTAAGTCAATCTAAGTGAGGCCAAATGCTGACGTTATTGCATTCCTCTCTAATGCTAGAGCAGGGTAAGGGTAAGGGCTTTGGACTGTAAACCTTTTTTATTTTACTGGTTCCCCTCTGAACAAATTTTTCATCTCCCTGGATTTGTGGGGAAAGGGAGGGAAGAGCGACGTGAGGAGAAACTCAAACCAGCTGTTCTTTAACAGAATTAAAATCTTGACCCCCAACCCCTGCTCTAATGCAGCCATTCTCTCGCCAAGCCTCTCCCAGCAAGCCCTGAGATCCAAAGAGGAAAAGACTTTGACCCCGTGACCCCTCTCCCCTCCTCTGTGGGGCTCCGGCACCCCGATAAGGGAGGGGGGGAAGGTATAGAGAGGTGGGGATGGTGGAGAGCAGCGGGTAAAGGCTGGGGGGGAGAGAGAGTCCAAAGTGACCTCACATGGAGCCAGCTCTGAGCCCCACGTTCCAGAAGATGGACTGCCAATTGGAGATGGGGTGTTGGCGGGGGGGCTCTTAGCTCTGTTGGCCTAATCTGTTTCTAGACAATCACCGGCAGATCTTTAATAGTTGGAGAAAGCAGCAATTTGTCCCAGCTTGGAGATCCGCTGCCAACAAATTTGTGGATAATTTATGTTCGCAAATTATCTCCGAAATGTCTTTCTCAGAGCGAAACCCAAGCCAGAAGTACTGGTGTGCCTAATTTCTTAAGTAGTGGAGGCATGTCAGTTTGTTTAGGAAAACAAAAACGGCACCCCGGGTTAAGCACCTCATGCAGCCTTCTTTCAAAGCATTCTGGTGCAAGTGACCGGAATGCTTCTATTATCCAGTAATTACTTTACACAATCAGCCGACAGCAAAGCGCTCGTTTGGTACATCATTGCCTAATTGTATGCTGTCTCCCGGCACCTTGTTTGATGACAATAGTTCCTGCTGCTTGTTCTTCCCCTGCAATGTGTTTCTTTCAGAGTCTGACAGCCAGCATGGATCAAAACAGCTATGTGAGAACCGTATTACTCAGCATGTTAATTATGGGCCTACTTTAGGTGCCAGAGCCAGAACTCCAACATGACCCGAAACACATAAATATGTCTCAGTAATTAGGCCTAACCGTTGCCATTATAATTGCTGCCTGATTATGAATGATTTTTCATGGACTTTTCCCAAATCCTCAGAGCTAATAAACACATCAAACCTCAACTAATGTTAAGCGTTAAAACTAAATTAAAATGGCCAAGAAAAATAGACTGTACCCCTTTACATCTCTTTGTTGCTCTGTGTTTACATAGTTAAGTCTGTAGATATTATAATTCTTAGTGAACAGCTGAGCTTGAGAACTCCAGATAGAATATTTTTGTGTGTGTGTGTGTGCGCTGTGAATAAATAGGGAGGGGGTTGTTGGAAGAATTTGCGGACTCCAACAATTACTGTTCCCAGCTGGGGCTGGCATAAACCTCTGCACTGGCTTCCTGGGAGGACGGGGAAAGCTAATAGCGGAGGCGGCTGTGGGTAATGTTGTACAGTAACCCTTACACATACTCATTAGGAGGCACTTGAAGGCCTCGTAAACACCACAGAGCCATGGATGGTGCAGGTTCAAGTCAGTTAAGTACAGTCGTGGATAGGATGGAAAGAAACTCTACGGGGTGGGGTGAATTATGAAATGCCAAATAAATAAAACATCTGTGAAAAAGGCACACTGAGAATACAGACTGCAAATCAAAAATGATGTGTCACATATAAAAGGATGAATATATTTATTTTGTGTTATATTAGTGTTGACTTAAATATGCTTGCAGGAGTTGATAAAACAAATCATCATCAAGTCACTGAGTCATTGGAAAGCTTAAAGGAAAAGTAACATGCTGCTATTATTGTGTTTGTATAACATTAACAATGGAATGAGAGGGCTTCAAGATGGTGGCACTTTGAAGGGCAGTCAGAGAACTTCTTAGAACCTTTTGAACATGTCTTTTCCGTCAAATCCCCCCCCATCCTCCCCTCACCAAGCAAACAGTGGTCTCTCTAAAACCGACATCACCGCTAACTCGTGCCAGATGTTCCTACTGTACTCAGCAGTGAAGACCCTCCACCAGAAGCCATCGCAATTACTCCTTAGGCAAACACTCCATCTTTCTGTTCAATTTATCAGCAGCATTCTTCTCTTTCATCTGCGCCACCAAAGAGTCTGCATCTATACAGGAACGATGCCAAGAAGATGCTCAATTGAAGACAGGATGCTTCTGCCTCGGGATGCTTCCATCTCTACATCATTCACTCTCTCTTCCTTTCCCTGTATCCCTGTCTTTCCACCAGTCGGCTGAACACTCTTCACTTGCGGAGGAAGCTATCAGAGCCCTCTTTGTCCCCCCCCCCCCCGGCATCTGTCATTAAGCAATCAGCGATGACGGCCCGAGTCTTCCTGCAGCCCCGGAGAGAGCTGCAGAGTGGTGACTGCAACAGTCAGAGGCAGGGAGAAGAAAGACGGGGCCAAGTCAGCAATGAATGTTACCAAAACACAGAGAGGACCATGCTATCTATCTAACTCTTAGACCTGCTTTCCCCCCCCTATGAAGGTCTATAGGTCAGTGTCCACTTATTGGATACAAGCTGCCCCGCTCGCCCCCTGTCTCTCATCCTCCCTCAGGTGAGCTGTTGGGGTGGGGGTGGGTGGTCAAAAGCGCAGTGTGAGCGATAACAGCCGTCATCACAGCATTCCTCGTGACCCTACAGGCTAATGCCATGTGAAAAAGGCTCATCCATGGTTCGCATGTTCTCAATACCGCCACTCCACCGGCAGTGGCTGTCATCCCCCCCGCGGTCTGTGAACCCCAGCAACTTCCTTCTCTGTTCCCACCACAGGCACCCCTGTCTGGGGGGGGGAAGGGGGGGGAAGGGGGGGGGGGGGGGGGGCTGTGATTACCTGGGGGTCAAACACAGGATGTGGGTAACAAAGGGAGAGTTCTTCGAACCCACTTCATTCCAATCCACAATCTGTGCTTGAACAGCCACGGAATTCAAACAGCGGCTCCAAACAAAGCACAGGTACAGAAAAGTAGATGCTGGTTTTACAGAAATTCACACGAACAGGAAAAGAGGGAGGACGCATTGCTCAGGAGCAGAGGGAATTTCTGAAGCGGTCTGCAAGTATAATGACTAGAAAAGTTGAATAAAAAAAAAAGAATCACCCCACAGGTAGGGAGTGAAAAGTATAAATAAGTGTGATGCACGGTGTGATGGATAAGCTGCTTCTCATCATTCTCCTTTTTGGCATTCAAAGTCCAAACCACACCTCAAGGAGAGCGACATTAAATGTAATATTAAATCTCAGTCGTTTCAGCATTTTCCCTTCGCAACAAACGTATCCATAGAAAAAACTGTTTATTCTTGGACAAAAATCTGTGCACATTTCTGCTCTCTTCCCCCACAGACCATGCTGGGCAGGTGCTCTTTAATTCAGGGCAAGAAATCTATTCTTAAATATCATCATTTGTCAACAGACAGCAATGTTATATTTTCCGTGCAGCCTCAACCCCTATTGGCTGTGTTAGGATAGTGGGCAGAGAGGGTGGGGGTGAGGTGGAGCTCTGTGGAGCGAAGATTGACAGGGTGGCTTTGAAACCTCCACTTTCTCTCTGTAGTCTTTCCAAAACACATCAGCGGCCCCCGCCTCGAGACGTGATGGAGTTACGTCGAGGAGCATGACAGCACTGCTGCATCAGTGGCCAGGCACATGATGAAATACCCACATCAGTGTGAACAGAACCAAAGAAGCCCATCTGACAAAACATACTGTAGAAAAAAAAAATCGTATTCCTCGGTTTCACAGTTTTTCAATGTTGCAGAACTCGATGGGTTGTTCAGTTTTACATGTTATGATAGTGTCATTGAAGTATGTGCCACAAAGCTACAGTGTACAGTTGGTGACTGATCAACTGACTGACTTGATTTCGTGATTCAATGAAAAGCAAAGCTAGCATTATGTTCCGTCCTTACTGTGAGTAAAATCCTAAGAAAATACTATCAAGGAAAAGGCCATAAAGCTACCAGTCACATGGATGGCGAGCACAGGATCTGCCTCTCTACGGTGGGACGTAAAACAAACAGAATGGCTCCACACTAAGAGGCTCTGGAGGGCCATTTCAGCCACTAGGAAAGGGTAACCATGCGTTTCACAGCATCTCTCATTAACAGGCAGCCCCTGGGTGAGAGTGACAGAGGTTTCAACCCTGGGACTGAGGCTGGGAGCTATAAAAGGTAGTCAGCTCACAGTGTCACAGGGTTGCTCCACAGGTATGTGTGTGTGTGTGAGTTCGAGAGTCCGTGGGTACTTGCATGAGTGTTCGTACATTATGTACGAATTTGCAGCACAACATTTTTCGCTTGCATGTGCATAAGTGTGTGAGAGAGGGTTGCACACAGCATGGAGGCATCGGTGGACTAATTTAAAATGTTCCCACCTTTAGAGACCTTCCCCCCCCCCTCTCTCTCTGTGAGTGGTTTGCCCCCATGCCCTTTATCCTCCAGACAGGGAGGGTTGTTTTCTCACCCAGGGAAGTGGGAGACGGCAGCCCTCCCGTACCCCACTGAGAGGGGGGAACGCAGGGGGCTCGGCCAGCGAGAGAGAGAGGCCCCCGGTTCCCACATACCGCTCGGCGTTAGCGCACCTACAGTAAACTCACACCCTGAGTCACAGTAGAGCTGTCAGTCTTCCCGGCACGCTCGGCCTCAGTGGGCTTCATTATACACATCACTTTAGACCATCAATTAACTCCACATTCAACCGCACACCCAGCGCTGGCGTGAAAATGTATTATATTTCAAAAATAAGATATATGAACAACAAATCTTCTGAGTAATTTACCAGTAAAAGTATATTATTTTGAAAAATATTGTTATTATAATTATTCAAATAAATAAATGAATAAATAATTAATGAAAATATCGACGTTACCTTAGGAAGTTGTTGTTAATTAACGAATTACAAAAAATGTAGATTTTGTATAAAATGTTTTAGGTGTAAACATTGATTATAAGTTTATCTCTGTAATTATTGAAATACAACTTCTTCTACAAGGAAAATTAATACAGTGGAGGTCACATCGATGGGGATCATATTGCCTTGAATTACTTTCCTATAATACTTCCTTCAGTCAGAGCATTTTTGAGGATAAAAACAGACTGTGCTGTTCATACAACACCACACTTTGTGTTCTTTTAAAGGGCTGAGCAGCAAACGCTTTGTGCAGGATAATCGATAGAGAGATTTGAGTGTGTGGGTTGGGAGGGGAAGTCTTTTGGGGAGGGACGCACCTTCAGTTCTATCTAACGGTGAATGAAAAAAGAGAGAGCGCTGATCCTGAAAAAGGTTAGAAGAGAAAGAGGGAGAGAGAGAGAGAGAGAGAGAGAGAGAGAGAGAGAGAGAGAGAGAGAGAGAGACGTAAGGGTGAAACTGATCCCTGTTGACCCCTTTGGCGTGCCCTCTTTCTTTTTATGACTTTCTTCAGAATTGTCACTCACCAGCTCTATCAACACACACACACACACACACACACACACACACACACACACACACACACACACACACACACACACACACACACACACACACACACACTTGAACACATAATACACAAGACTAGAGAGTGGCTTTAAAAGGCTGAGCACAATATTATGATTAATTGTGATGTTTAGAGGCTTGTAAACAACCCTTGAGAATTTAAAAATGATTAATTTACCTTAAAAACTATAGACTGCGAATGAAGAAGTGGGTACACTGAGTCCATATTTAATGTTCTTGTGCAGAGGCGGGCAGGACAACAGTGTTAATTCTTAGATGGACCACTCACACACACACACACGCACACGCGCACGCGCACACACACACACACACACACACACACACACCCCGTTAGGCCACTAACTCTGCACCTGTGTTTCTGCACAGCCTCTGGGGTCTCCCTTTATGGCTTAGACTAAATTAGATGGACCATATGCATTTCTGCACATGCTTAAATACATAACTGCTGCTGGCTATGGTATTTATAGTTGGACTCTATTTAGCTTTATCTGAGATGGAGGGCTGTAAATCAGCAGAGAGGAAACACAACTGGTTAGGCACTGCTGAGAACTGGCACTTAACACTCAGACTGGCCCAGCTCAGTTTAAGAGAGATCAATATGTCTTCAATAGAATGTCGTTCCTCCTCTACTATAATTGTTAATGACAATCATCGCAGCGTCTGCAGAGGGGTCTTGAAATTGGACGTCCTAAAAAGCATTCTTGCAGCGGACCACACGTTGCTCTTTTAGTCATAATACTGCTCTACTTTTAGCTGGAAAATATCTAAAGCCTCAAAGTGTCAAAAACAAAATCTAATAATTTCGTTACTGAGATAGAGCAGATGAAATATACGCGTCACATTTTACAATAACTTTATAAGCAGCCTGAGCTGCCAATTTGTCTGTGAGCGGTTTCATCACACATGAAAAGAAATCAAAACACGGGACAGATGTGGAGCAAATCCACATTTAAGCGTTGTCACAAACTGCCATTTTTTTTTTCAAATGATTGGGGCACATCTATTAAATAAAGTGCAGCTACAATGGATTCTACATGGCCAGGGCATAAGGAAATATTTAACCAGTCAATTGCAGCCAATTAACTTTGATCACGATGACTGCGTTTTGGAATCTCAGTCACTCGTCTGTCTGGGAGACTATGAACGTTTTCCTTCCCTGTCTTTCTCTCTCTCTCTCTCTCTCCCGGTTTTTCCTCCTTCTTGGGTTTACTTCGTGTAACACTTCCATGAACATGGTGGTGAGTAATGAGACTTGGCAGACCGGCTGCAGATCTCTTCACACTTAAGTATCAAACAAAACATTTCCTCTACTGTGAGGTCAGCATAAAGCAGGACACTGAGGAAAAGTGCTGGGTCAGTGGGATCACATTCACTGGGAGAAAGAGAATCATAGGAGGAGGAGGAGGAGGAGGCAGGGACAGAAATCGCAAAAATAAAAATCATAAACAGAGAATTGGATAATGCTATAATGTTGAGGGATATAGCATTGAGATGAATTGCTTTGTTTATTGTTAACATGTGATGAGCACTGATAGCTGGTGCATGCGTTATGTACGGACAAATGTAGCACACACTTTTCTGTACATGCAGTCTGAGCCTATAAGCATCCCTGACCCTCTGGTCTTTTACTTCTCCCCAGAGTGAAGCAGACACTCTAACATCCCACCACACACCCCTCCCTACCCATGATCCCTCTATTCCTGTGCCCCAGAGGCAGATTTCACACTCGCCATACATGAATCAGGGGGGGGGGGGGGGGCGAGAGTGGGGGGGGGGGGGGGGGGGCAAAAGAGGCGTGGGAGGGGACATGGCGGGGGCTTCATGCTGTGAGGCTAGGGTCTGGGGTGTAGGTGGACTGCGACACCAAGCACACAGCATGACACGGACAGACGGAGTGGCCACAGCAACACCAGAGCTTGACAAATTGAGCTGGCCTCTGTGGGAGTGGGACGGAGGCGGGGGTTGGGGAGCAGGCCTGGTGACCCAGGAATGACGGAGGCTGACAGCACATGTAAAATTCATGGTAGTTGGGCTCCGAGGTAATACTTCACCACTATGGGACTGATTACTGAGAAACAGGCTCCACGCTTTGAAACAGTTGTTGCTGCTTCAACTGAAAACTTGATGGAGTGCTCATAGACTCCAGTTATACATTCCTCTGACCGCTCAGACCATCGCAAGGTGAACAGAAGGCATTCGGGAAGATCACGAACATAGCGGCGCTAAAGGCAGCTTAAAGAAGAGAGAAAAACACATAGAAATAGACCTACCTCCAAGTCGTTAAAGAATAGGTGTGTGTCGGCCAAGTTGAAGATCATTTCTTCCATCCTCAGGCCTAATGATACAGATGTCGGAGGATCCTGGAAAATAGACAATTAAATCTGATTAAAATCTTTCCTCTGAATATTGAGGTAATTTTGTTCCATTTGAAGGGGGTTAATGTGAAACAATAAATAACGCTGTTCCCTGTAAATCACTCAATTAACACAGAAATCCTTTTAAATTCCCCGGCAGGCTATTCCCATAAAAAGAAGACATTAGGCGGACTTGAAAGTTTCAGCCTCTGTTTACGACTCTCCGAAAAGCGACCAGAATAGTCATCAGAAAAAAAAAGCATGTCTCCTCTCAGGAAGGGTGGTCGGTTTGGAAGAGTTGGGGGGGGGGAGGGGGGGG